GAAATGAATACTTTTGTAGAGCTTATTGAGTGAACTTTTAAGTTTGAATAACTTGTGTACAACCTCCATCTCTGTACAGGCAGTAATTCTGCCGATGTAATGCTGTGCCACTTCTGGGGAAAATGGCAAAAATTAGTAGATACATTTCCATTCGGTCCCTTTGTTTTTAAAAGTGGAAAAATGTCTTGTGAAACTTTGAAGTCCCTGTGTATGCATTGAATTTTAGTTTATTAGTTGGCTCAGAGTTAAGGAATGTTTGGCTATTGTCAAGTGAAGTCCTGACAGTAAAAGCAGTTCATGTGTGTCTCTGGAAGTGCTTGTGTTGTTTTATAGCTGTACTTATTACAGAAACAGAGGTGGAACCAGTTGAAAAATTAAAATTATTGGTGTTTTAATTTAGGGGGAAGATTATAGAAACTCTGAGCTTGGCCTATTTTAAAAAGTACATGTGTTAATTTGGAGATGGGTCTTATTTTGTGGGAGGAGAGTTTAAGAACAGCTATATGACTTGTTCTTGCTATAGATTGCTAGTAGTATATAAGCTGTAAATACTGTTGAAATGTAAATGTGCTGTCAGAAGCTTGTTAGTGTATCTAAATGCCTGTGGGAATGGGAGACCCGATCATACCCTGTCGTGGAAAAGGATATACTGGAGATTATTCAAGTTGTGGTAATGGCTTCTAGGCAAAATCCCTCTGTTACTGAAAGCTTCTAGTATAATGAAAAGTTGGAGTGGAGAAAGTGGGTTTTACTGTACTGGAACCATGGCTCAGCACTTGGATAAATTGACTCCAGATGTTTTTGTCCATAGGCAATGGATCCAAACATGGTTTTGGAGTGGAAGCCAGTTAATGACCTGCTTATTGCTGCTGGAGAGTCCTACAGGAGAGTCTCATGAGGATGCCAGCAGTTTTCCCTTTGGCATTCTGGGCAGAGGTCACAGAGCTGGCTGGAGTTTGGGATTATCCACGTGTGCTTTGGTTATATCCTAAACCTCCGAGGAGGATGCAGTGGCTGTGTGGGTTGTGTGTAATTCCAGCTGTGTGGCTGAGGTGTGGAGCTCTGCAGGGCAGCACCTTCCCCAAGCACAGATCCTGAGGATAACACATTGCTGCTGTCTGCTTTGCTTTCATGGGCTTGGTTTGATAGGGGTGCACTCCAGATATTGCCGTGACACAGATTCAGTGCTCTGCTTCCAGTGCAGCTGCTGTCAGTGCATCACCTTTTTACCCTGAAATCTCAATTTATACTTGGTGCAGACACAGCTCCACGTTGCCTTGGCTTCCAGCTGTTTGCTGTAAGTCAGCACAGCTTTTACTGATGACCTGGAGAGTGTGAGTGCTGTCAGAACTCACTCCACTGTTCAGCTCCAGCGTGGAATTGCAGTTCATTCCTGGAAATGGATGTGAGTGAACAGCTCAAAACTGGCTCTGTCAGGTTTGATTTTTGGGTTTGCTACTAATTTTGAAAGGAAAGTCTTATCACTAGCAGGTGTGATAGTTAAAGCATGACCCCTTGGTTATTCCCCCATTTATTCTGAATTTTCTTTCTCTGTGTGGCTGTTCACTCCTATTAAAATGCTTCAGACTTCCCTGAGTTTAATGGGTACCTATGGAAGAATTAAAGGTTAGAGCTGCGTAGTGAGTATTGAGGCATCAGTTTCTTTACATCATACTCAAGTTGTTTCCTTTGCAAAACCCCTCCTGCTGCCTCTGAAACAGTCAGGAAGGATCCTTGTGATTTACATTGTTCTTTCCATGGCTGTTTCTCATCCTTGATAAGGACAGGGAAGCCCCACTGCAGCACACACTTATTTACTTGTGCCCTTCCATGGCCTCACATTCAGTGCTGTGATGCTCCTTCCTTCCCATCTCAGGGTTTATTTTGCGTGGCCTCAAGATAAAAAGGTGATAAGATCAACCTTTAAGTTGTCCTAGGTCCCTGCACCTGCTCTGATCATCCCAAAACTTTGACAGGTATTGGGGTGTTTGGTTTATTTCTGCAGGGTAAAAGGAAAGAGAAATAGTTTTGAGGTTAATACAGGGATGCTGCTGTAGGTGTGTAAGGTGTGGTCTGTCTTTGTGGAAGGGCTTTGAAGGACTCTCCTAGCAGTAGCTTTGCTATTTAGAGCTGATTTTACACTGTGAGCTGGATTCTCTGGCTCTTTTTCAGAGAGAAGTGACGCAATGTCAGGATCTTCTTGTCCTGCAGCTTCACCTCAATCTTCAGCCCCTTTCCACCCCAGACACCAGAGAGAATAATACAAATTATATTCTCTCCACAGCAATTGTGAGGAGGCCAGTTGGGCTTAACCCTGCTCAAGCAGAATAGAGGTGGTGCAGCCCCATTGGCTTTTGGATCAGGTCTGCCTGCCCTAAGGCATTGTTAAAACCTAAAAATGTTTTGAGCTTTCTGATTAAATCTGCCACTTCAATTCAAGATTAGGTGCTTTTTAATTAATATGATGGTGGGGAGGCTAGACCATAACAGTGGCTCCAGTGGTTGCAGTCATCTCCACATCCGAAATAGCAATGGATACGTTTACTCCCCAGTGACAGAAAAATATACTTTAAATATCCTGATTTAGTAACTAAGAGATTCAATCAATTACTCAGTGTTTCACTAAATAGGTAAGTGCTGCAGTGTGTGAACAGGGTCTATTCATTTAAAAAGCCACTTCATGGCTGAAAAGTGATTTTTTTTTTTTTTTGAGGTTTGGACAAAATCTCAGCTCTTAAAAGGGGAAAATGGAGGAGAGCTACTGTGCTGCTGACTTATTTTCCCCTCCTGTCTGCTGTGGTCATCAGGAATGCAAAGTAGCAGTGAGGGGTGAATATTGCCTTCATCTCTCCCTCATTCCTGTCCCTCCTGTTGATGTTTTGATGTGCAAAACACTCTTCACTTCAGAAGCTGCTGTGTGGGGTAGTGGAAAGGAAAACAAACCCCTCGTTATTAGTAGCTGTTGCCATTTGCTAAAGCTGTATTTTCTGCTGCTTTCCAGCACTCCCTCCTCCACAGCAGGAAATGAGGGGGTGCTGGGGAGACCTAAGCCAGAGAAAAGAGCTTAATTATACAAACAAATGTGTTCATGGGAGTCTTACGAGTCTGAGGCCCCGAACCACGCAGACTACTTTGCTGAGGGACAGAAATTGAAAGTCTGTGGGCTCATTCCCAGTTAATTGGAGGTGACATTCCCATCCTTGTGGGCTGGTGGTGTTGTACATGTTGTGCATTCAGATGCTGAGATGCAGCGTGTCTCATTTTGGGAGTATTGAGCCTTGTTAAATGTTTACCCTTTGGTACTGCTGCAGTTGCCCCTCTTAGGGGAGTTGGTGGTGTGGACAGGACCTTGATATCTTGGGGTCAAACACCATCACCTGATTGGGGTGGGGTTTTGAGCTGTTTGTTGAGCTGTTGCCTCAACTCTGATGGTATCACTGTAGTGTGTGATGGTTTGTTTGTCTGGACCTTCAGTGTTCATTATTTTGTCCTCTACACCCCAGTGTGGTCCCCAAAAGCTGGTTCTCCCTCCCTAGTGCTGGAAATATGAGTGTCCACCCCCTGTCCACAATTTGGCCTCTCTGTTCTGTTTTGGCAGCCAGCTTGAAGCGTTTGCACCTCCCCAGCAATCCTGCAGGCTCTGGTGTCCATCTGGATTCCCTTTGGTGTCTGTCCTGCAGTTGTTGTCTGGGACACCTGAGCACAGGAGAGCTGAGCTGAGAGGTGTGGACAGCCCTGGGCTGGAAAGAAGCATCCGTGGGGTGATGAAAGCTGTGAACTGCTCATGTGTTTTATCAGGCAGGTCAAATATTGACTGCTCCTGTGCTGAGCCCATGGTGGTTACAGGCATCTCCCTGGACTCTGGTGATTCCCCTTCCCACCCTTTTCTTTATGGATGATCTTTGTTCAGCCTGGAGTGTTAATTTTCTTCCTTGGCATAAATCATCTTTGATGATTTCTGGGTTGGTGTGTGAGCCCCATGCTGTACATAAATGAATGAGTGACACGAGGAATATCTACAAATGTAGTTATGTTGTATGTAATGTACATAAGGAGAGAATGTATTTTGTTCATTTTTTTCTTAATAAAAATGTATATGCTAGCAAGGGTGTTGATTTAAGATCTGTTTGTTCTCACATCACTTCAGAGAGTGGAAAAATGCCTGTGAAGGTCTTTTAGTGGTAGAGGAATTGTGAAACTAGTGGCATGTTACATCTGGCCCTGTTGCCTGACCTCACTGATGAGCTCAGTCAGTATCCCATAAATCCAGCATATTCCACACATTCACAGGAACTTTTTCTGGGGAGGAGCACGGAGTTAGAACACAGGCTGTGGCAAACTGCTGATTTTTAATATCTGTCTTCAAATTCTTTTTTTTTTTTTTCCTTTACATAAGCAGGAATTTAACCTGGAACAAAGTGTTTTATTTTGGGTGCTTGAAGGCCAGTGGAGCCACTGAGCTGCCCACGCTGCTGCTGCCCCTCTGCTGCCCTTGGGTGATGCCTCTCCTGCTTTATGTGAGGTTTGATTCCCTCCTCCACAGCCTGACCTGAGTGCCAGCAGGGGCTGCAGATCAGAGTGAGTTAGGAAATGCAGAAATAAATAAGGCTGAAATGCAGAAATAAATAAGGCTGAAATGCAGAAATAAAGCTGAAATTCAGAAATAAGGGTGAGTTGTCTTTTCCTCTGACAGCCTGCAGGCACCAAGAGCTCAAACAAGTGCTCAGGCTGTGGTGGGGGTATCCTCACATCACCTCAGCTGCCCACCCCTCTGAGTCCTCTGATTTTTAAATTTAATAGTTTTTCCACCACTATAATACTTCCTTCTGCACAGGAAAAATACAGGCTTTTCCATGACTGGCTACCTTGAAGGTCTGGGTTGGTTTTGTTCCAGCTGGTCCAGTGTTTTCCCATGGAGCTTCTCCAGAGCAGGAAGCTGTGGCCCTGGAACTTGTCCTCTGACCTGCCCACCCCTCCTCACTCATCCAAAGACACAAATCTTTTATATAAGAATGTTTATTGACAGAAATACATGATGCTCTCAAAATATATTTGTAGGAAAATGCAAGAATAATATCTTACAATCCAGTTCCTCAGTAAATTCCAGTGTAAATCAGACTCCTGTCCCCGTGAGAGGTGCTGCTACACACAGTGTGTAAGAGCTCTGCTATATGTGCAAGGTTCAACAGGGAATTACCACCTGGGGAATTAGGTTTTCCTTCTCCAGTCCCTCATGGATTATGACTTCTGTGTGTCTTCTGTAGGCAGCAGTCACAGTATCCACCTCATCAGCTGGGTCACGGCACTGTGAGCGGGAGATAAAATGCTCCTAAAAGTATTTACACGTTTCCTCTTGAATCTGAAAATAGAAAAGTCTCTTGCAAGGACATCTGAACTGCTTTCCCACCGAAAGGTAAGAGCAGGAATCTCTTTGTACAATGTGTGGGATGTTAAAGCTGTTTTGGGGGAGAGAAGAGGAGCTCAGGGAAGGGAGGAGGGGCAGGGAGGAAGGAAATGCCTCAGTAAATCTTTTTTTTTTTATTATTATTTATTATTTTTGGTCTAACAATTATGGCTACAGTCTACAAAGGGAAGGGTTAAGGCCAAAGATGCTCATTGCTGCATTTCCTACCTGATTTTTTTTTTCCAAAAAAAGAATGTTCTCAACATTAAAAAAAAACAAAAGTACTGTTTTCTTTTCCTGTGGAAATAGTTCTATTAAATAGGGGAAGGAACATCTACTATAAAATATTAGTGGTTTAAAAATATGGTGTCTGGAAAAATAAATAAATGTACAATTCCTATTCAAATATAAATCACTATAAGCACTTGCTGAGCAGTTAATATCCTCACTGGTCTCTGCTTGAAAAGATTTAAGGTTACTTGATCTCAAGCCTCTGTAGGATTCTCTTGGAAAGTCTTTGGACCTGACTCATTAAAGCACTTTGGCATCTCTTTGCTGGGAAGGGAGAATCTTTAGGCACATGCCAAAGCCTGGAGATGCCCTGCCAGGGGTGTCCTGGTGGCAGCTCAGCCCCGGTGGCCACAGCATCGCTGCTGCCCTGTGTTCTCACTGTGTTTGTTTTCTGGGAAGGACAGAAATGTGAGCTCAGGGACCTGCTGCCCCGGGGCTGGGAGGCCACAGTGCTCACAAGAGCAATTGTGGATGCTCAGGCCACTTCTCTGAGACTCGTGGCTGTGTTAAAGAGCTGAACTTGATGCTGCCAGAGCAGGGACAAAGCTGTGGCACAAAGTTACCTGGGCAAGAGGTGTTTTTCTGCTTCACGTCAAATTTTTATATCCTACCAGGCTGGCTTTTTTTTTTTTTTTTTAAGATTTTAATTTTTTTTTCATTTTATTTTATTTGTTATTCCCCGCCCCCCCCTCCAAAATTACTTCCCCATAGTGCAGTGCACAGGTAAGTGAAGTGTGCAGAATACATTGCTAATGAATAGCAGGAATATTTACATACAAAAATAGAAAGGTTTGAACACTTCAGACTCTGCCCTTCAGTGCAGGACAGAAGGGGAAGAGCCACTTGTATCTTCTGCCAGTGCCTGTCCTAGGGCTGAGCAAAACACCCCAGTCCCCTCCTTCCTGAGTACTCCCAACTCCACCAGGGTTTCTCCAAGCTTCCCATTGCTTGGCTCTGCTTTTCCCCTCATCCAGGGCAGCCCTGGGAGCAGATCCCAGTTGGGTTGACTTGGTGGCAGAGCCCAGAGGAAAATCTCCCCATTGGGCCTGGGTTTGTGGCAAGCAGAGGAGAAAGGCTGTGTTTGGGCATGGCTCTTATCTGCACCATCCTCACTTTGGGAGAGGGACTCAGCCAAGTGACCTTCTGGTCCTCGTGTGCTGGAGGATGGTCCCTGCCTCTGCCAGGACTGAGCTGCTTCACCAGAGCAAAGCATGAAACTCTCCCCAGCCTTTTAGAGCCATTCAGGAGCTGTGGTGGGGAGTCAAAATCCAGAAATGGCCTCAGTCCAGCCATGTTTTGTTTCTTCTCCCCTTTAAAGGCTTCAGCAAAGGGAGGCCTGGGTGACAAACCAAGAGCTGCAGGACAAAGCTCAGTCCCAGCTGCGCTGCTGAGCTGGAAGTTGCTTTGCAGGTCTCTGTTGTTTTAGTGGCTTGTGAAGAAGAGCTTGAGGCTGAGCTTTTAAACCTTGAGGGGGTGAAACAAACACCAAGGCCACCTGAATGCCACTGAGCTCCCTGGCTCACGTTCTGCTGCTCTTTTACCTCTGCTCACGCAGGAAAATGTGCCCTCAAAAATCACGAACCATCGTGGTGCATCTGTCCCACAGTCTTGTGGAGGATGGATGAGGGCTGTGAGATGCTGCTGTGTAATTCCTGGAAGGCAAGTGATCCTTCCAGAGGGAAATGCAGCACCAGAGCTGGGCTCCTGCACCACAAAACCCCCAACATCACACCTGGGCCAACGACCAGGCATCGCTCTTGCCCTCCACACCCTTCCTTAGAGGGATGAACTCAAGGAATTCCTCCTTTTCCTCTCCCTCCATCTCATCCTTGTAAAACAAGAAGCTGCTGCACCTCTCTCGGTCTCCAGGTGGGCTCAGGATGTGTTCCTCAGCCCTTGGCACGGGGGCTGAGCATCACTTGGCACTGCTGCATCCCTGCCATCCCGCTGGGTCCGGGTGCATCCATTTGCCTATGGCACAACGTGGGGTTCTTGTGCGTTTCAGCCCTGGGGAGAGGCTGGAAACTGGATTAAAAAGGAACAGGCTGTTCCAGCTTCTTTCATTCACTACCTGGGTGTCAGGGAGGGCAGGGTGATGACTAAACAGCGTGGGCCAGAGGATTTATCAAGCTGTAATTGCCAGGTGCTGCTTTGCTGTCAGATGCACTCCATCTCCCGTCCTGTTTATTTTATTTCTCTTGATTTTTGAGTCATTTGGTAGCTGGAGGATGTGGCTGGCATGGTCAGATGTGGGATGGGAGAGGACATGCTTGGAGGAGACGCTGGCAGCTCTTCAGCAGCAAAGCTACCCTGTTTGCCCATGGCTGGTCAGGTCTGGCGTGGGAGGTGGATTGGGGTTGGAGGATGCTTGGCCAGATGTGGCCACCAAAGTGGCTTGTGTTGTTGTGCCCCAGAGGTGTCTTCTCTTGTGTTTTCCTCTTCCATCCTTCACCCCGTGTGGAGGCACAAAGGGCCATGATTAGTTCATTCAGGGATTTTCTTTTTGGGGGGAACTTTGCCTTATTTTGGAGCTCTGTCTGCATGTGTGTAGGGTTTATGGGGTTTTTTTTTGGGGGGGGGGGTCGTTGTTTTTCTCTTGATCAAGTTCTGCATCCTATAAATGCGTGTCCTCCTCTTCCTCCAGGTCCTCCTTCATGAGGGTGTCCAGAGGAACGATCCAGCTGTCCCCCAGCTCACCGTTGAGGTTCACCTTCTTCTCCTGCATTTCAGAGGAGGTCTCCATCACCTCCAGCGTGGGGTTGTCGTGGTAGCCGTTCTCCATGGTCTGCATCTCCTCGGTCAGGCGCTGCTATGAGGAAAGAAAACCATAAACCCCACTGGACAACACCTTGGCCATGCTGCGAGTGTCACCTCAGGGCTGTCACCTCCCAGCCAGCTGTGACAGCTGCCCCATATGGATTTATATAGCTACATACAGAGACTTCCATGGTGAGGTTGAGGCAGGGGGCAGCGAGGGGATAGCATGGAGCTGGCAAGAGGGAGACTCTGCTGATGATGGGAAGGAGGAAAGAGCAGCCAGAGACATGTGGAAAACCTCCAGGAGCAGCTGCCAGCTTCAGTTTGTTTGACCCAGGACCTTGGGAAGAGGTTGAGCAACACTGCATCCCAACTCCTGCCTCCCTATCTCAAATCTGCTCTTCCCCTCCCCTTTCTATCCACCCCTGTCCTTTTTTAGGTGCTTTACTATTATTCTCCTTTACTCAGGGGCAGCTCCCATCTGCCAGATCTTGAGCATTATCCCTCCTCATTCTGGAGCTCTCAGTGGAAACCAGGCAGGGAAAGATGGAATCAGCCACTTTATCACCCTGGTCCTTTGGTGTGATGTGCTTCAGGCTCCACCTCAGCCCTTCATCCCTTGGCAGAACCCCAGCCCATCCTGATTTTGCATCCACTTGGGCTTCTGCATCCCCATCCTTCCCTAGAGGGATTCAGTGGGGAACTGCAGTCCTTGCTCAGCCCTTTTTGGGAGCCCTGTTAAAATCTGCCTGGATTCACAGCTTGCTCTATTACAGTGCTCCTATAAATGTCAGGAGACAGGCGTGGGAGGGAATCCATGGAGAAGGAGAGGGATGGAGAAGCAAAACTGCAGGGCTTGGTGCTGGCAGAGGGGCTGCAAAGGCGCTGCTGGGAGTCCCCAATGTCACCCGTGGCAGGGTGGGGACTGTGGGATGCTCGAAAGCAGAGGAAACACCTGGGATCTAACCAAGGGCTGCTTCCATGTGGGATTGCTGGTCTCCCACCATGGCAAGGCACCTTCCAGCCATGCAGCAAGAGGAAAGGGGCTGTAAAGCTGGGCTTTAGTCCTGTTAAAAGCTACTGGGCCCTACCAAGCACCAGAGGTGAGAGCTGGGGGTGTTACGGATGCGGCGCCCGCCCCTCCGATCCCTGTGTTGGAACTCACATTAAAGATCAGGGCCACATGTCCATCATCAAACCCGGGGACATCAGGGTGGATGTTCTGGGTATTTCCAAGATAAAACGACAGGGAGGGAGGTGGGGGGTGAGGAGGGTTGGAGAAAAAAAAAATAAAATAGGAAAAAAAAAAACTTTCAAGTCATTTTTGGAAACGAAACAGAAGGAGAACAAAAGAAACCACCCAAAAACAAAGCCAGGAAGGAGGAATGTGTTTGAATTTCAGAAATGGCATCCCTTGCTTTGGTTTTGCTATTTTACCCTGTGCCTGGTGGGAATTTACCTCTGGAACATCCAAGTTGGACTGGTACCTGTTCCTCTTGACCAAGTTATTTTAGGGACACATGTTCCCATCACTAATAATGCCTTATTGATGAAGCTATTATGATGAAATCCTGGAAGCTCCAAGGGGACCACAGTGCAGGCCAAATATTTATTGAGGTCTTGCCTCTTCCCCTATTTCTTCCCAAAAAATCAAGCCTGGTTAAGTACAAACAAGTCTGACAAGGGCATTAATTTTCTCTTCCCTCCCTTCTGTGTTCACCTACCTTGCACTGTAAATATTTAAAGCTTTATCCCTTGTTTTCCTGTGGGGCAGAGGTTGGGATCACTGAGAAAGGATGAGGTGGTCCAGGGGAAAGCTATTTGAAGTAGGAGTGAAGTAGGTTTGCTTCTTCATCAGGAGGGTGATTTTACCCTGATTGCATAATCTGATTTCATAATTATTTTATGTTTCTGTCTGCCCTAGAGCTAAATCCTCAGGAACAGCAGCTGGGGCCAGTGCAAACCTCGGTGCCCCAGGGTGTGGGAATGGCCAGTCCTTACAGGTGGATGCTACACTAAAATCACCGAGGATTTCTTCCCGAGATGAAAATCACATTATTTTCTCTTTCTCTGTTGGTTCTTCCTTAAATCCTGCTGCTGCTGCTCTGAAATTTGGCCCTGGCCCAGCTCTTGCAAAGGCTGAGCCCTGCAGTGTTGATGCTCCTCTTGCTGACACCCTCCTTCTTCCCTGCACACAGCCTGGGGCTCCCTGGCACCCAACCCAGCTCCACTACTTGTAAAAGTATTTCAATACATTTTTTGAGAGGTACAGCTTGTTTTTAGAATGGGGGTTTGGACTGAAAAAGTCTTTCTTGTCAAAATTACAACCCGAGGTGGTGCCCGCTGGGCAAACCAGGATATCTCCACACACTGATGATCCTCATCTCCTGAAGATGCTTTGGGGATGGAAAAGGTCTTGGGATACCTGTCCCATGCTCCTGCCACCTTACCTGGTCCTTCTTTTGGGAGAAGCGCTGGTGGCAGCCGTAGATGGCCGCGACGAGCAGCAGGGACCCGGCCAGGGTGATGATGGTGATGATCAGGGGGGTGCTGAACTCGTCGTTGATGGTCATGTCCTCCACCATCTTGTCAGAGGTGATGTTGATGATGCCAAGCTGCCACAGAAAGGACAGGTCAGGCTCCTGTGCCACCCACCACTGGGGGACACCCCTGGGGCAGCTGTGCCATGACCACTTACCTGCTCTAACCTCTCCTTCTTCTCCTTCAGCTTCATGAGGACTTCTTCAGAGTCCAAGGGAACTGGGGGAAGAAAAAGTCTTCAGTGAGCACAAGGTGTGGACAGGAGACAGGTTCTGCCACCATCCCCTTGCCAGAGGGGTGAGCCAATTTCCAGAGGAGGTGGATGAAGATGTGTGGGGATGAAGCAAACCCTTGTAGGTAATTTGGAGCCAGACCAAGAGCCAGGATCTCTTCTGGAAGTGGGACAGCCCCAGAGCTCCCAGGCCCCACCATCCATCTCCAGTGGATGATTTAAGAGCAAGCCCAGTGAGGGGCTGTACCTGGCTCCTCAAGGATTGGTCCTCAGAGCCTGGGTGCCTTCCATGAGGTTGGATGTGGAGTCTGGATCACCCACCCAGCTTCTGCTCTGATGATGAGTAAGAGCAGATGGAGCTCAGGCCTTCCTCCCCCTCATGCTAGGGCAGCAGGATGTCTCCATCTCCCAGGCACCCTGATCCTAAAGCAAGGTTTGAGCACACCCAGGCTGAGCTGGGTGTCCCAACAAGGCTCTGACATGGGAGAGAAGCTCCTCTCTGTGGTCTTTGGGGAAGGATTTGCACTGGGCACCCACTTTTAACCACCTGGGAGGAATTTTTCCTCCTGGAGACTGCTCAGTGCCTTGACTCAACATGGCAGAGGGATCTGGTGCATTCCTTGGGGCGCAGAGCTCATTTCTGGGATCGTTGCACCTCTCCCAAACCCCTGGGATGGGGCAGAACAGATCCCTTTGGCCAAGCTCTAGTAGACCAGAGGGCTCTGCTGAGCCTCCAGCTCTGGGATCCTCAGTGTCAGTGCCACCCTGTCCCCTGCACAGGAGGGTGGGATCGTACTCACGGTGCAGGACCACCTGCACGGCCCAGCGGCGGGAGGGGCTCTTGCAGGCCATCAGCGTCACCCTGCACCGGTCCCTGCTGCCGTCAAACACGTGCTGGGCCGTGGAGCAGAAACTCTCAAAGAAGGAGTTGTTCTTGCTGGCAGTCTTCCACTCCTCCTGCGGTGACAGCGAGGGTCAGCACTGCTCCCCCACCCAGGGACTGCCCAGCATCACCCCCCTCATCACCACGTGTGCAGGATGTCCCATCCTTAGAGAATGACCCCTTTGAGACGGGATGTGCCACTCCGTGCCATGGTTTGGTGGACAAGGCGGTGTTGGGTCGTTGGTTGGACTCGGTGATCTCGGAGATCTTTCCCAGCCAAACGGATTCTGTGATCTTCCCTCATCCCTGTGCTCTGCCCGGCTGCCGCCGGCCCTCCCGGGGAACAGGAAAAGTTTAAAAGGAGTTTCTTTGCAAGGAGCCGAGCTCTTGGCTGCCATTCCTCACCGGGGCCCTGCCGCAGCCTTATCTGTGAGCCGCAGCTTTCGGTGTTCCAGGAATAGCAGGTCCCTGAGGGAAGCGGGGCGGGGGCGCTGGGGGGGCCAGGGGCCCACGGCGGGAGCAGCCCCACACTTCCCCCACGGGCATCCCCAGCCTTTCTACCCCCTGTCCCCACCAACACAGCTCCCTGGCCTGCCTAAAGCTTCCCCACAGCTCTGCAGGGAAGAGCAAGAGAGTGGGTCTTGCTTTTGGATAGAACCACAGGATGAGTCACGGAGTGGTTTGGGTTAGAAAGGACCCAAAACATCATCCAGTTCTGCTCCCTGCCGTGGGCAGGGACAGCTTCCATAGACCAGATTGCTCTAAGCCCCTCCAACCTAGCCTTCAACATGTCCAGAGATGGGAAACCACAGCTTCTCTGGGCAAACCAAAGCATCCCTGGAGAGATGGGAGAGGGGTGGATGGAGCACACGCTTCCTCTGGAGTATTCCTGAGGTTTTTACTTGATGCTTTGTAGCACCTGGGTTGTCTCTAAAGTGCTCACCCTCCTGCCTGCACAGATCCTGACGTGTGGGTGTGGCACTTGGGGACATGGGTTAGTGGTGGATTTGGCAGTGCTGGGTTAATTGTTGAAATTGATGATCTTAGCGGGCTTTTCCAACCTAAATCCTTCCATGATTCTGTGCACAGACCTGGCCCTCACAGGTCCTATATGAGAGGTGCTGTATATTACAGCTCCTGCGTGCACAAGTCTTTCATGTGCAGGTGCTCCTGTGTGTCAAAGCCCTTAATTGTGGGAATCCAGGGCTTCCCTCTGGCTGCCCTGGCAGGTCTGGGACCCTGGCAGGGGTCAGGAACCCCCCTGGACAGAGCCCTGAGAGACACTGGCTGTGATCTCTGTCCATGGAGAGGAGTTTTCAATCTTACAGGATGAATTACAAGCTCTGAGTGTTTGATAAGAGTAATAATTAAGTGTGGCACGGGTGCAAAAGTAAAATTTTAGATTTCTAGATTAGGGGTTCAGAGGGGACAAGATGGAGGAATTGGGTGTGTCTTGTCCTTTTTCTCCTTCTTCATGCCCTCCATGTTTCACTGTGGTGTTGGCATTTTTCTGTTGGTTTAGGTTGGGGACACACTGTCCAACGTAGGTGACAGATATTGGCACGTTATTGTAAATCCAGCACACGTAGTTTCTGGTATTTAATGTTTGTAACATCCCACTGAGGGCAGAGCCCCACACGCTGCCCTGCAGGACAGAGCTGCGGCAGGGCAGCAGAACATGTTAGAGATAAACAGAATAAACAACCTTGAAACCAGCACAGACCAATTATGGCTTCTTCTTTGGAAACGGGGCAGAAAGACAGAGACTTTCTACAATCTCAGAATCACCAATACCCACAGATTCCAACACTTAATCCCTGCTGAAATGAGGTTCCTGGCTGGGAAAGGCTCTGCTCCATCACCCAAACCCTGCCCTCCCATCCCAGCAGCACCGCTGGCTGGCAGCATCCTGCTTGCTGCCTGCAGGGATGGGAGCAGCCCTGCCCAGGGACGCACCTAATCTCACCCCATCTTATCTAAATATTTGGGAAGCAGCAGCGGAGACAGGATGCACTTGCCGGGGCGGAAGGCTGGCCCCGGGCACAGTGTGAGGGTGAGCTCAGCATCGGGAGGCCCTGGCTGTCCCTGGGAATGGCCACTGTCCATCGCCTGTCCTTTCTCTTTGCACAGGAGAACTTCCCCAGGGCCCCTCTGTGGGGTTGTACCATCCCTGGGAAAAGAGCTGGGTGGGAAATCTGCCCCTGCCCGAGGGCAGCATTCCCTGGAAAGCCGGTTCCCAGCAGGACAGGGAGGAGGGGGGTGTAGCTCGGTGGTGGCGGTGTTTTTATCACGTCTGGACGCTGGGTTGTGCTCCTACACTTGGAATGTCCTGTGATTTACCAGTCCCTGTCTGTGCAGCACTTTCTGCTTGGCAGAGGAAGGGAAAGCCTCTGCTGCCTTCCTGCATCCTCCTTCCCCTGGTTTTGCCGCACTTCTGCTTTGCCCCAGCCCTCAATAACCTGTTTCTTCCCCTACCACTCCGTGGGGAGGGAAAAGAAGACCCTTTTTTTTTTGGGTGGGGAGGGAAATGGGATGCAAGGCTAAAACCTCGCTGAGACCACTCCCGTGGCAGCTGGTGAGCAGTGCCTAAAGCCCTGCAGAGGGTGAACTGGAGGGACTGGCCCTTTCCAGGGCTGGAGAGGGCCGCAGGGATGCCCCTGGCAGCTCCCCCTCCGCCCCGGAGCCGCTCGCATTCCTTGGCCGGAGTTGACAGGCGCTGCCGAGCAGCTCGGATCCGGTTCCCACACTGGCGGGGACCTAAAACCAACATCCCCGAATGAGGTAACAGCACTTGAGTCAACAAACCACCCCGCCAGCTGCACGGGTGAGGGGGGGACCACCACCCTGCTCGGTGAGGGAGTCCCTCTGCCTGCTCCAGGGACTGTCCTGTGTCCCCGGACCAGTGGGTGTCACACAGCAATTCCAGCGGGTTTGTGTGCTCCTGCTGTGGTTTTTTCATCCCCCACTGCAGCAGGTTCTGGTGCTCCCCACATCCACTGGCTCGGCTCCTTGGACACATCTGTGTCCAGGCGGGGGACACGATGGAGGAGGAACACCTGGGAGATGGACACGGGGTTGTGTGGCTGAACCACAGCTCAGGCTACACCAACCACCTCTGTCATCATCTCTACTTGCTTCACCTAACTCATTTTGGGGTTAGGATGAGGAGCAGAGCATCCATCCATCCATCCACCCCTCCATCATCCCTCCATCATCCATCCATCCATCCATCATCCATCCATCCATCCATCCATCCATCCATCCATCCATCCATCCATCCCTCGATCATCCATCCATCATCCATCCATCATCCATCCATCCATCCATCCATCCATCCATCCATCCATCATCCATCCATCCATCCATCCATCCATCCATCCATCCATCATCCATCCATCCATCATCCATCCATCCATCCATCCATCCATCCATCCATGCATCCATCCATCCATCCATCATCCATCCATCATCCATCCATCCATCCATCCATCCATCCATCCATCCATCATCCATCCATCCTCCATCCATCATCCATCCATCCATCCATCCATCCATCCATCCATCCATCCATCCATCATCCATCCATCCCTCCATCCATCCATCCATCCATCCATCCATCCATCCATCCATCATCCATCCATCCCTCCATCCATCCATCCATCCATCCATCCATCCATCCATCCATCATCCATCCATCATCCATCCATCCATCCATCATCCATCCATCCATCCATCCATCCATCCATCCATCCATCCATCCATCCATCCCTCTATCATCCATCCATCTATCCATCCATCCATCCATCCATCTATCAATCCATCCATCCATCCATCATCCATCCATCCATCCCTCATCCATCCATCCATCCATCCATCCATCCATCCATCCATCCATCCATCATCCATCCATCCATCCTCCACCTATCCCCTCCAAGGTAGGAGAAACCCAACTGAAACTGCATTTGTGAGCCAGGAGGAAATCATCCTCTGGAATATAAAGTATTGAGCTGATAAGCCTTACTAAAAAACTCATTAAGATCCTGCAGTAATCAAAGGAAGGAGAAGGAGAAGGTGGGGGAACACGGACCAAACTGTTCAGCATTGGTTCAAAGCATCATCTGAAGAGGAAGGATGCAGGGAAACCACCAGCCTGTGAAACATCTACAGTCCACAAAGTGGTACCAACTGTATATTTGGCTTTTTTTTTTTTTTTTAAGGATTTATCATTTGAGTTCCTTTTTTTCTGGAGAAAGTGAGGTGTGGTGGGGTGAAAGGTCTGCAATTCCTGGGTTCAGTCCCAGCTGTTTGCTGGGGTGCCCTCATCACTGGTGCTGCCCCACCAGCCCAGCTGTGAATGGGGTGGGTGGCTGTGCCCTGTCCTCTCCCCTGCTCTGTGTGATCCAGACACGTCCCCCACCACTGCTCCCCCCACATTGCCCTGGCTTCTTTCTGGATCTGAATTTTTAGTACAATGCCACCCCGACTCTGGCTTGCTCTCAGCAGGATTGGAGCTGTTTCTGGAACACTTCTCCTTATAGCACACACTTTCCTGTTTTCCCACGGGTTGTGAAACACAGAGGATTTTTTCACTTTGCTGTCAGGATTTGGCTACAGATGTGTTTACTGGTCCTACAAAGCAGGGAAACCAGATAGTGCCATTTCTCTGTTATCTGCTCGGCTTGGGAGGCACAAAATGGGCTGCAATTTTCAGGAATACAACAAGTGGAAAGTTAAGGGCGCTTGGTGGGGAGGTGCTTTGGCAGCCGAGGAGGAGGGAGATGGGATGGGAGGATGCACCCTTGCAGCCCTGCAGCCTTTCTGTGGCTGTTTTGGGGTGTAACTGGCATTTTGGGCTCGTTATTACACCCAGAAGGATCAAAGGGAAGCAGGGTGGGAGAATCCCTCCAGCTCCAATTCTCCATGGCCCCGGGGCAGGCCACGATGCCAAGATGTGTCTGCCCATCCCTCAGCTCACTGGTGCTTCCCAGCCTCACCATCCCTACTTCCAAAAGCCTCCCAGTACAACTCCCTGGGCAGGACAGCAGCTCTGGAACATCACTGTGCCCAGAAGGAGGGGGAAGCTTTAAACACCAGCCCAGTCCAAAGTCCCTTTTAGTCTCCAAAATTAGATTTTGTCCATCTGATTGAAGATTTGTATATATTCAATGCAAAATTTGATGAGACGGTTTTCCAGCATGAACCTGCAGCCGTGCCCAAGACATTATGTGGGGAAAGTGGTGGTCTCAGGAGAGACCATCCTGCTGGGCCTCCATGGAATCATCCTAGCATTGAGAGCATGATGCTGCTAAGGACATCACCACTGCTGCAGGTGTGTGGGCAAGGAGCACTTACACCCAGCAGCAGCCAGAAGGTGACAACAGACAGCAGGCAGGTGATTTCCCTCCTCCAGGAGCACAGTGGATGATGCTGGGAGGTCCAAGCCCTTTCCAAGGCTGCCAGGCAGGGCCATCACCCAGGTGCAGGGAATTTCAAGAGCTGCTGTGGTCAGTAGTTTCATTCAAAATGTGTCTGGAGGGGTTTTGTGAACACAGTGTGGCTTCACTTGGAGAGTCCCTTCCAACTTGGCTGATTCTGATTCACTTAGGACAGGGAGTGGCAGGACAAAGGGGAGCAGTTTGAAATTAAAAGAGGAGAGATTTAGATTAGATATTATGAAGAAATTCTTTACTGTCAGGATGGTGAGACGCTGGAATAGGGTGCCCAGAGAAGCTGAGGCTGCCCCTGGATCCCTGGAAGTGTCCAAGGCCAGGCTGGACAGAGCTTGGAGCAATCTGGTCTGGTGGAAAGTGTCCCTGCCCATGGCACAGGCTGTGAGAAGGTCCCTGAAGTGCCAATTTTCCACTGCTTACACTGCTAGAAACCAGAGCATTTTCATGCCAAACCCCACCCCTGAGCCCTACCCACAGTCACTCTGTCAGGACCTCACCAGCCATTTACTGGTGTCTCTTCCTCTTTATCACCAACTTAAAACTTCCTATTTGGAACTTACCAGTGTAGTGCATCTTCCCTATTCCAGGAAGCTCACAGTTTCCACCAGAACCATTCTGGGGTGGTTATTCCTTAGGAACACCAGCAGACAGTGCCCACCCACCAGAAAAGATCCTGGAGTGTGCTCCTGAGTTGGGCTTGCCTGCCCTCAGCCTTCCCACCACATTTTACTGCTCCCTGGTCTTGTAAAGGGCCTGAAACCAGTGAAATTGAGTTTTTTTCCCTCTCACTTAAGGGTTCTATGAGGGCATTGAGGAGCACAGTGAGTCCCAAAATCCAGGCTCCTCTGCTTCCCAGTTACTCTGCAGTTTGATGCCACCCTAGCCCAGTGTGAGGTACAAAACCTCACAAGTGCACAATAAATGCAAAGGAACACCTCAATTTTTTTTCTTGGGTTTTGGGACAAAATTTCAGCCCCTCAATTTAGGCAAAAAGCTTTCCTGCTAGCATAGGGAAAGATTTACCCTTTAAAATTTTCCATTTGTCTTTCTGTAAGACCTGGGTGGGCTCAGCTGGTCATTTACTTGGAGAAGACAACACTGGCCCCTTGTCCTCCTGCCACATCCTTCACTGGTGACACTGCAGAACATGGGTTTGCATTCACCATTTTACATTGGTTGCATCTTTGGTGAAATTCCCTCATTTCTGAGCTTTTTCTCACATGCTCAGAGCACCACAGGTTAAAATCTGAACCTCCAACAGCTGCTAATTCTCCATGGAAGTCAAAAAGGTGGTACTTACACAGGTTCTGGGTTCTTTCAGCTGGATGGTGGGCCCGGTATGTTGAACCTGTTCATTACAGATGAGCTGGAAAGGCAGGAAAAAAGCAACTCTCAGTGGTGGACAAAGGCTGGAAGGACAGTTGGTCACCAATCCAACAGCCCATCATTTGTTTTCTGGAAAAAGAGCCTGATCTCCTCCTGGGAGTTGTGCAGAGCCAAAAGTCTGAGCCTCCCGAGCCTCCTTCTCTCCAGGCTGAGCCCTCCCAGCTCCCTCAGTTGCTCCAGACCCCTCCCCTTCACCTCCATCCTCATTGTCTCTTCTCTGGAAAGCTCCAGGAGACAGGGATGGGAGTAAATGTCCTCTAAAGGCCCTTTCCACCCTAAAGAGTTCCGTAATTCTACAACCTGGAATTGCTTTGCTGGCAGGTCTCTCTCTCTCTCTCTATCTCACGAACAGTGAGAAGAGCCTCAGGCTCCACATGCACGTGGGATGGCAGCTGAATTAACACCTCTGAGAGGTGCCCACCTTCCCGTTTGGTGCCATTACCTCGTTTGTGGAGGAAATGTTGGGCTGCTGCTGGCCAGAACTGCAGCCCTCTGCCTGGTCTGGCTGGTCCCCCGAGGCTGGAGGATGGGCACTGCCAGGGCTCTGGGAGGTGCTGGTGGGTTTGGCAGTTCCAACGTCGTGGGTACTCTGGTCTGGCTCCCCAGCATGCACCAAAAAACAAGCAGACAGACACTGACACAGTATAGAGGATACAGATGGCACAGCCCTGTAAGGGATCACCTCAAAATCGGTTTTCATCTCTAGTTCTACCTTGAAGCTCATTGTGCTGGAGAGGCTTTCGATTGCTTCTTTAATTTTATATATCTTTAAAATTTGATATGAAAAGAATCTGATTGCTGATTTTATTTTCTGCTGCTGAAAGTCATCAGAGAGGAACCAAAGGCCATTGGATGGCTGTGTGTGGGTAGCTGGGTAATCACTTATGGGGTGACCTTCCTTTCACTTTATCTGGGGTGTCTCCCATGGAGATTTCCCCAACAGATGCAGACCTGGCTACCCAGGATCTGCCACCTGCTTGGGAGGGGATGTAATGCCATAACCTCTGCTGGCTGCACCTCCATGGAAAAATTCCAGGGTGACAAGCTCAGAAGTAGTGCCTGGTTCTACAGGAGACAGCCTGGGGTGTCCTGCCAGGACACAAGTCCCAAGTCTACAAGCCCCATTCAGGTGTCTCTGATACCCGAGGTCACCTCTGAGGACTTGGTTAAGCTCTGTATCATCAGCACATCAGCACAGCAGCCTCCTGCCTTCCCTTTGAAGACATGGATCTTCATCCCTGGCTTCCTAATTGATCCTTAAGTGGTGACAAAGAGAATTAAAATGCCACAGGATGTTCACAGCCTATTTGCTCTCGGGACTCCTACCTCTTCCACAGAAAAAACAAGGGATATTTCTCTCAGACACGTTCTGAAGGCTCCAGGAGAGAATTAATTCCAAAGCCATCTGTTTCTAATGCATTCTGCCAGCTATTTATTAAATATAAAGGGTTTTTTAGACCTCTTCAGGCTTAATGCTTGAGGCCTAATTTGAATTAACATAATTTTATATATGATCCTTCAGTGGAGAACAGTCCTGTGGAGCAGGAGGGGAAAGAAACGAAAAAGAAACATCCTTCATGAAAATATCCATTTCACCTCATTCCTGCCCACACAGGAAAACATGACTTGGGGGAAGCCAGTAAAGATGGCTTTAAATTTATGGCCTTGCAATAAAACCTTGGCCCATTTAGTGGTGCCAACAGCTGAGAGGCTGAGGGGGATGGAGATGGTTTTTGAATGGTTTCTGTATTCCAGGTAACTGGAAATTGGGTCAAGAAGAACATTTTCCAGGGGAAGATAATGAAGGGATCACAGCTTTTATTCAAAGGTAGATGTGAGCTGAACCCACAATCCCAGCCAAATCTGGAAGGCTCTGTGGAGCCCTCACAGTCCCACAGGGTTGTGAATTCCCTGTGAATGCTACCAGACAAAAATACCAGTTTAGGAGGCTGAACTGTGCCTGGCCAGGACACCCAGGAGCTGACACGACTGTAAAACTTCAGAGGCCAGAGAAAACACCTTACTGGTGTTCAGCAAGTTCCTAAACAGCACATGGACACTCCTCATGCTGCCTAGACAGCAGCCAGCAGCCAAAACCCTCCCGCAGCACTGATGGACATCCTACCAAAGTCAGACTCCTCAGGGGTTGTAAACTCAGAGTTTACCACAAAATCTCCTTAGTCATCTAAAGCTCATTTCTGTGCCTGCCCAGCCAGCCTTCCCTAAGCTGTCAGCTGCAGCAGGGATCTCCCAGGGGCAGCATTCCGGGGGCTGTCATGCTGCTTCCCCCGTCCCCCGCCTCAGTTCCCAACCCACAGCTGCTGTCCCCGTCCGCCGTCACTGAAGATTGAGCCACTGCAGCTGATGGTGCTTCAGGCACCATTTGGTCCACCCAAAAGCCAATGCCTGCACTTTGCCAGTTGATTCATTCCTTGAATTTCACTGACTGCATTGACTCGACTTCCAGCGAGGGACTTAAACACGTGCTTGTCACACAGACAACTGTGCTGGAAAGTCCTAAAATGACACAGCCCAGAACGGCAGGAGGGGCTTAGGTAGCCAGAGGAAGAGAAAACACAAAAAGCCTCCCAACACCCAGAAACCAAGGTTCCTGTCTCCTGTTACCTGCCCCAGGAGTTGTCGTGGTGGCTGCTGGGACCACGCCTTTGCTGCCAGGTTGTGACATTGGAGTGGTGGTGAGGGATGGGGATCCAGTCAGAGGGGTAACAGAAGTCTTGGTGCCTCCAGGACTGGTGGAAGGGGCTGGAGAACTCGGAGAAGGAGAAGGCTTCTTGGTGGCACATTGTGGAGGAGGGAAAACACATTCCTCGGAGCTTTGGGAAGGGTCAGTTCTTGGCTCTGTGGTGCTCACGGTGGTGGTAGGCAAATGATCCAAAGGCTGCTTTACTGAAGGCCCTGTGGTGGAAGAGAATGTGCCAACATCTCCTACAGCTCCTGGGGTAGTGGTTGCATTAGTGACAACAGGTTTTGCAGCAGCGGTGGTCCCCAAGCTCCCCACGCTGGCTGTGGTACTACTGGGCTGCCTAGAAGTAGCAGGGTTTGCAGCAGGGGTGGTTGTGGGGCTGGTGGTGCTGTGTGGGGAGCTGTCCTGCCCAGATGTGTGGGATGGGGTGGTGGTGGCAGACAATGTGGTCCCCAGCGTTGTGGGGGCGGTCCCTGTCACTGTGGTGGGTGACACGGCAGCGGAGGACGGTGACGTTCCCGCGTTGGTTGTAACGATGGTGCTTTGAGTAGAGCTGGCTGCTGCCACAGCGGGGGGAGTCGTGGTAGTGGTGGTGGTTTGGAGCGTGGTAAGTGGTGATGTGGTGGTTAGTGAGATCTCACTGGTGCTCTCGCTAGCAGCTGTGGTCACCGTGGTGGTTTCTGTGGTTTCCGTGGTCAGGGTTTGTCCTGGGTTTGCAGAATCTGCATCATCCTGAGAGCTGACACCTGGGGAAAAGTGAAAACGCCAAAGTAAACGCTGAACTAAGGAAACTACCCTTGGTTTCCCCTCAGAATGTGTATTTGTAGAAGTAAACACTGGTATAAACCACTGTCGGAACTCAAAATGTCCCTCAGACATTTTTAGAGGTTCCAGGCCTTGGTCAGAAGCATTTTAGACCCTGGCAAGCAGCTGAAAACAGCTGTGATCTTGAGTTTGAACCATGGAATGAATTACCAACTTTGAAGATGGAACAAGCGGTCACAGAGAGTTAGATGGTATAGAAAAAGTAGTCACAAATTAGAGGGAAAATTTTTTTAGTATTGTACAAGGGGGTTTTAGTACCTGTACAGGGGGGTTTTACTTTGTACATGGGGGTCAGGAGTTCTAAGATGGAGGAAAGTGGGCCTGATCCTGTTCTTCCTCCTTCTTCTTCCTTACCTCCATGTTCTTGGTGATGTTGGCATTTTTCTATTGGTTTAGGCTGGGGACACACTGTTCAACGTAGGTGATAGATATCGGCACATTATTGTAAATATAGTGCACGTAGTTTCTGGTATATAATGTTTGTAACATCCCACTGAGGGCAGAGCCCCACACGCTGCCCTGCAGGACAGAGCTGCGGCAGGGCAGCAGAACATGTTAGAGATAAACAGAATAAACAACCTTGAAACCAGCACAGACCAATTATGGCTTCTTCTTTGGCAGCGGGGCAGAAAGACAGAGACTTTCTACAATCTGGGAATCACCAATACCCACAGATTCCGACAAACCATGAGTCATTCACTCAGGGCTTGCCTCGTGCTCTCCAAAGTGATATCAAACTCCATGTTCTGGTACCACTGTATCCAGCAGGAAGTAGAGCAGAGGAGGACAAGAGGAATCTCCTAACGTAGTCAAACTAACAGGACTTTAGAGCAAGAGCAGGAGGACAAGGCCTGCTGGGTCTCAGGACACAGGTCTCCCTCATATGGGAGGTCCACCAGCTTCCAAGCAAAGCCCTGCAAGTGTTCCCAAAATAAAGCAGGTCCAGCCCTTGTAAAGGGACAGCCAAGGGATGCACTGACTGCAAGTGTCCATCCCTGTCATGAGGGTCTCCCACATTCCTGAAGGGATGAGGTGACACAGAATCACAGAATCATTAAGGTTGGAAAAGATCTCCAAGATCATTAAACCCAAACAATTATCTCACATTATCATGTGCAAAGAGATCTGTGTTTGGTTTCTGAAGAAAACTTTCAAATGATGAAGCTGTTCCTCAGTGGGAGATGCAGCTGGAGGACAACTCACCTGACAAGAGAGAACTCTCCCACTGCAGAGAGCTCTGCAATGTGCTGCAGTGCCAAAATGGGGTATTTTCACTGCTAAACCACTATAAAACCCTGGGTCTATTCTTCTGCTTGCAATCACTGCAGGTGCTCCATCAATGGCCACAGAGAATTTCTCTATGTGGCAACCACCACTTCTGGGCACTTACTCAAATTCACCCCTGGAAAAATTAGTCAATTTTTCACCTTTCAGGAAACATGAGCTGAGCCTCTTTATCCATGGATCCCTCTGGAGTCAAAGCAATGACCTGATTTGGGGAGAAGGTTCTTCCTTTTGGGGACTGTGAGAAGAACTGCTATATTTTTTTTTTCCCCATGAAGCATTTATATATTATTTCCAACCCTCCAAAACAGCAGTCACACTTCCAAGGATTGATTTTTAGCCTAATGCTGCTCTGCAGAGATCTGCTTTATTCCTCTGTGCTGGCACACAGGCAAAGTATCTTCTCTTATAAAGACTATTGACACTGATTGTGCATGAAAGATCTGATCAAGCTCAAGTTTCTGTTGGGAAAATTTAACCCCACCATGTCAGGATCTGCATTGAGAAGGACCTGGGGAGTGGGATTTGGGACTGGGAGGCTGCAACAAGTTTGGGTTCCTGTGGGAACTGCCTGGGTACAGAGTGGGTTTGGAGGAGGCAGAGGAGCTACAGCTGGGCCTTGCATAGGCATCCAAACAGGGAATGGAAAGGAAAGGAATGGAATATAGAATATTTCAGTTGGAATGCACCTACACTGATCAGCTCATACAACTTCCTGACCATTTCAGGGGAATCATAGCACCACAAGACTGATTTGGGTTGGAAGGGACCTCAAAGATCATCTCATTCCAACCCCTCCTGCCACGGGCAAGGACACCTTCCACTGCCCCAGCATGCTCCAAGCTCCATCCAGCCTGGCCTTGAACATTTCCAGGGATGGGGCAACCACAGCTTCTCTGGCCAATCTGTGCCAGGGCCTCACCACCCTCCCAGACAATAATTTATTCCCAATATCCCATCTAACCCTGCTCTCTGTCACTTTAAAGCCATCACCCCTTGTCGTGTCACTCCATGCCTCTGTAAAAGTTCAGATCTCCTCCCAAAACATGGTTTCCTCACCAGCCACCAAGAGCAGCCACTCCTGGAAACACAATCAAGATGTGAGTGTAACTGAAAGTAGCAGCATGAATTATTTTAGGAAACACTTGGCTTGTGAGAAAACATTTCCATTACATCTGCAGGAAAAGGGCTTTTGTGGAGATAAGTCATATTTCCTATAGGCTGACCAGTGTCTGCAGGAGAAGAAAAAGTAAAGAAGTAAAACACCATCACGGGGTCCTGACAGATAAACCCCAGGTGCCAAAGATAGGAGGGAATTTTGTTCTACCACCTCCTTAGTTGTGTTATCAATTTGTGTGGCTTAAATTGTCAGTGATGGTTGCACCAAGCTGGGGAGAGACCAGGCATCCACAAAATGGGTCTGTCCCATAAATAGGATGTGAAAGTTTGACAGGGGGTCCCACAGCAAAAGAGGTACAAAAAAATCCCCTAAAGGTCAAAACAATACAAAAGAGATGTAAAGAAAGAATGGGTTGAAAGGGAGGAGGGAAGAAATCCCCCACTGCTCTCATTTCCTCTTCATGCCCCAGTCTCATCCCAGAGGGGCAGAAATTAAAGGCTCCAAACAGAGGTCAAAAAGACAATTCAATTCAACTCAGCCCAAGAGAAGGGGGCAGGACCATGCTTTGGCTCTAGGCCAGTCCTGGTGGCCATCTGGGACCACCCTGTGATCCAAGGAACCAGGATCCCTGCCCCAGCACTTTCCTGTCCCACCCTGGGGAGACGCAGATAGGATTTTACCACTTTTAGCAAAAAACTGAGAGCAAAAGCCCAAAGCAAGGGGTTGTTCTGCTAATGGAGAGATCTGGTGATATCCTCCAGGCTAGTCCTGGCTGGGGTGGTAGAAAGCTCTATTCTAGGGCACAGAGTGACACAGTCCCCAAAAAAATGAGTGGGAGAAGAACCAAGACTCAAGTTGGCATCCAAAAATATCATTAGTCTTCTATTTTTCTGTATCTCTGCATCCACTTCTAGTGTTCCTCTTCACTAAGGTCAAGAGATGTTAAAAATCCATTTATTCTTCCTCATTAGGCCAGGACCAGTGATTTAAGTGGGGTCAAGCATCATGGGCTGGACCTACACTACACCAGTGGAGAGGGGCTGTGGCTACAGCTGGGCAAGATCCTCTCCCACAGAGGAGCAAGAACATCCATCTCCACACCCCTCCTGCAGGTTTCGGGCACCTTTCTGTCAGCAAAATTTACCTTTTCTATCTTGCTGCATTGAATTAAACTGTTTTCTCACTGATGCTGCACCAGGTGCTGCTGCAGTCACGGGGTTCAATATTTTCCTGCAGCTTTATTGCTCTGAGCTTAATGTTGTTGTTTGTCCAGGGACTCTGTCTCACCGCAGTTTTGGGAAAAAAAAATGCATTTCATTTAGAAAAACTGCTTTTTTTTTTTTTTGGTGTCTTGCAGGATCACCACCCACAGAAGACCTGGCTTAGGCAAACCCATTGCAAACTTAATTCCAAAGCAGAAACAGCTACAGAACAAGCACCACAGTCCCAGGAGTCACTGTTTTCCTTCCACATGTACTGTATCTCTTTCAAATGCCAGAAGATGGGGTTTTTTTTTCAATCTCTTCCTCCCTCGCTGTGCCAAATTTCAGTGGTGGACTCAGGGATAATAACTGGTAACGAGCCCCTGTTTGCCTGGGCTGGTGGCCAGTATTGCCTGACAACTGTCCCCAACAGAAGAAACAAAAAGGATCTGGTTGAAGGAGGAGAAAACCCTTGGTAAGAACAGCCTGACAGGACAGGATTATGTTTGGGGCCCCTTCAGCATGAAAATCACTCACAAAAGATACAGTAAGTCCTTTTGCAGGGGACAAGTGATCCCTTCATGCCATGAGCCCGGAGATAAAAGGATTTAAGACATCTATGAGAGAGGAGGAGGAGGAGGAGGAGGATGGAGGAGAGATCATCAAAGTTATCACTCCCTTACCCAGAGGAGACCCTTCTCAAAAGAAAATCCACATGAATTTCAGCCAGAGTCCCTCACCCTGTTTTCCAGAAGGCAGAAAAAAACCACCTGCCTGCCCCTGACCTTCCTGGCTGCATTTTGTCACTCCAAAGCTGCTTTTTTGATTTCACTTTTCTGGACCATCACCAATTCCCTGTTTTAGGGAAAAGTAGAGCAATTCAGCAAGCTACTGGGGGTATTTTGACTTAGGGGTTGGTCTGTGCTTCTCTTCTTGCATGTGTCCCTCAGAAAGCCCAAACCTCTGGTGCTGGGTGTGGGGTAGAGCTGTGGGAGGAGGGCGCGAGCCCTGCACGCATCCGCGAGCTCGGCGGCCAAGCAGAGGAAATGAGTGAGCTGCAAAAACATGATTTCATGTCCGGATACGTGTATCCCATGGCTGGGCCTGTGATACAACTTTGTCTCTGGGATGGGGAAACCAGGACACAACTTTCCCTTATTGCTAATTACCCAGACAAGCTTTTTCAGCCTGTTTGGGAGGTCGGAAGTGTCCGTGTGGGTGTGGATGGGGATGGTGTGGGAGTTCTCTGGTCAGGGGCTGGTGGGGTGTGAAAAGTCATCCAAAATATAAAAGGAAAGGTGAGCTGCTTTGTGCT